AAGCCTTATGACGGTGAACGTTGCCTTGAACACTTGTATGCAATGTTTTCTCCTTATGGAAGCCTTAAATGTGGTTGAATAAGATACTGGCCGGGGGGGGGGGGCAAGGCCCTGGATGGCTGTTTGCAAGGAGAAACAGCATGATGTATGCACAGCCCTGGCTATCATTAAAAAGTTAGCAACAGTCTATTCCAGGGCTGGGAAGCCTGGGGCCCCACAAATCTTACTGAAGTCCAGCTTTCAGTATGGCCAGGGGACAGGAATGATGGGAGTTGTAGTTTTACCCTATCTGGAGGGCCACAGGCTTCGCAGCCCTGGCATGGTTTCAGTCCATTCTCCACGCTCCCATGATTTCAGTGACGAAAGGACCCCCAAGGTAGCTTATAAATAGAACAAAGCATAAATCTATACTATATCTCCTGCATCATGAATCCCTCTTCAGTTTGTGCTGTGGATAAACAACATTCCTCTGGTAAATATGCTTCAAGTCATGAGTTACCTTGACAGGACTCCAAGGCAGTAGGAAGTTGTACAAATCCTGCCGACCTAGTTCTTTGTGTAACTTGGGGAGCTGCCACCCGCATTGTGTTTGTGACACAGGAGTGCTTCTGCCTGTCAATAGTTATGTCTAAAAACACGATGTGGAAAGAGGAATGTAAGCTGTGTTCAAGAAGGGTACATTGACTGGCGGATGTTGCCAAAGGCAGGAGAAGCAGATGTTGCCAAGAGAGATGGGAGCGGCTTGGCAGCATCCACAGGGTGTGGGCCAACCCTTTCCAACAGACACAGCAGCGAGTTCTGAGGAATCCAAAACGAATCAGGCCTACAAGTATTTGCCTATTTAAAACAACCCGATGAACTTCAATTTTCCACCCAGAAGATACTGTTCCTTCTCTCTGCCAGTTCATTTCCTTCCCCACTGCCATTTTCCTCCCATTTCTTTGAGCCGCTAGCCTTTTAAAAAAGCCCTTTCCTATCTTCCCACCCTTCTCACTTTTGACATGCTGTGTTCCCAAACCCCAGCTGCACCTCGTCTTACAGCTTTGCTTTTTATTTCTCCCCTCCAAACCCAGACTGGAGCATCTCTGCGAATCACAGTTGACGATCCTTACTGTTAGAGCAGTTTAGTCATTGGCAGAAGGACTTTTCTGCCAGCCCCACACCCCTGCAACATTGCCACAGCTTATTCAGTTGCTGCAGGAGGTGCCAATGGCATATAATATATGAAGCAACTTCCAGACCCTTATTGGAGGGCGGGATACGACTCTAGCCATATTGTTATCATGAAACATCAAGTAACATTTCTGGTGCTTCTGAAATACCACTTGTTGGAAGCTGCAAGAGAAATTGCCTCCTCTTAAATGTTGTAATAGCTTTATGAATAGGCTTATTAGTAGCCTTTTGAACTTACCGTAAATATTTCATTTGACTGAATTGTGTGTGTGTGTGTGTGTGTGTGTGTGTGTGTGTGTGTCATCACAATCTGATAGAAGAGGCGGTTAATCACATCTAAATTAATTTAAGTGCTTGCTGCACTAGATCATTTTAGTGGGTCTGGCTTCATCGTAGAAACAGATGGGTTGTGCAGCTGAGATGCTTGATGGATCCATCCTTGGTACACTGAATCAATTGATTGCTGGCAACCTTGCTCATAATTCAGGTAGCAATATGTGATATTTTAGGAATAGTTTTATTAATAACCACATAGCTCTTTTTATAATACTGCTTGAGCGTTCAGAGTAATGAATCATATTTACAGCCTTGTAAGGCAGATGTGGGGGAACATTTGACCCTCTTCATGTTTGCTGGACTGCAGCTCCCATCAGCCCCAGCAAGCATGGCCAATGGGTATTGTAGTTAAGCGATATCTGGAGAGCCGAAGAGCCCCCACACTTGTTGTAAGATAAGATCTATATTAACACAAGGTGTGCAGGATCAGACAAAAGACCCATCTCATCTGTCAGGTTTACCACACTGGTAAAGTTGTCACCCAGAGAACCTAGATTTGTAGGGCTATTAATTAATTAATTAATTAATTCCTCCTGGAAAACCTCCAGAGCTGGCTATTAATTTTATGTATTTATTTCAATAATTCATATCTTCCGAGAGAGTCTCGGCAGCTTACATCCTTCATCAAACACAAAACAATACCGTAGCTGCAAGCATCATTTGAAAACTGCCTTTCAACTCCCCATTAGTCACTTTTATGCTGGCTGTTCTGTTTTCTTCACTATCTTCCATCTTGCCTTTCACTCTACTAGTCCAAATGCCACAGGAGCTCCCTTCCAATTCTCCTCCCACAAAACCCAGCACACTGAGCCCTTAAAATCATCCTCTGTGCTCTTCCTCCACCTTCCAAATAGTTCACTTTATAGCAGCTCTCCTACACATTTCTCAACAATTCACTGCCTCTTGCTGCCAAATCATTCCTCACGGCACTGCTGTGCCAATCCTCCCTAAAGTCCCACAAACCTCCCTTTCATCTCACCCAACCTTTTAGTCCTGTAGTCAAAACTCCTTCTGAAGTCAACAGCCCCTGCTCCTTATCAGTAGCATATTGAACCATCACATTGTGGTTAATAGATGCGGGCAGACCTGTTTTCCTTGAATTTCTCCGATCGCTTTTTATTACGCCTGTACATTGCCTTTCCAGCATAAGCTACCCAAGGTAGCTAAGATTAAAATGAACTCTTTAAAGGTTATATATTAAACAATATTGATATAATGGTTAGTGTCAGACTAGGATCTGGGAGACCAGAGTTTGAATTCCCACTCAGCCATGAAGCTCACGGGGGACTTTGCACCTCTCACCGTGAACTCCTGCCAGGAGAAGTGGGATATAAATGTAGTATTAATAATTGTGTGTATGAAAATGGGGGGTGGGGGTGGAAATCACAGTTTGTTGTGAAATGGTGGCCACTCGGTCACATTTTGGATTAGCCCTAGGTGTGCACAGTAGTTCAAAGTTGACAAAATTGCCTCTCAATTTGAGGAGACATACTACCCTCAGAAAAACAAAGCAAAGCAAAAACGAACATTTGCAGTATATTTGATTTTTAGAACAATTCTTGGCTCAGCTGGTGAATTTCCTTGTAATTGCCACAACACAGAGAATTTTTAGAGTAGAAATTCTGCAGAGAAGGGTGCACGTGACGAAGTGGTAACAGAAGTGAAACTACCGAAAATAATGATTTTGCATAGACTTTTCTCTGTCTTCTTTAAACAAATGGGGGGGGGATTGGAAGGTGAGCTCATATTACAGAAGCGATGCTGCAGATCCAGGGTATCTTGTACAGTGGTAAAGGTAAAGGGGACCCCTGACCATTAGGTCCAGTCGTGGCCGACTTTGGGGTTGCAGCGCTCATCTCGCTCTATAGGCTTACGGAGCCGGCGTACAGCTTCCGGGTCATGTGGCCAGCATGACTAAGCTGCTTCTGGCGAACCAGAGCAGTGCACAGAAACGCCGTTTACCTTCCCACCAGAGTGGTACCTATTTATCTACTTGCACTTTGACGTGCTTTCGAACTGCTAGGTTGGCAGGAGCAGGGACCGAGCAACGGGAGCTCACCCCATTACTGGGATTCAAACTGCCGACCTTCTGATCGGCAAGTCCTAGGCTCTGTGGTTTAACCCACAGCGCCACCTGCGTCCCCTGTACAGTGGTACCTCGGGTTAAGTACTTAATTCGTTCTGGAGGTCCGTTCTTAACCTGAAACTGTTCTTAACCTGAAGCACCACTTTAGCTAATGGGGCCTCCCACTGCCGCCGCGCGATTTCTGTTCTCATCCTGAAGCAGAGTTCTTAACCCAAGGTACTATTTCTGGGTTAGTGGAGTCTGTAACCTGAAGCGTATGTAACCTGAAGCGTATGTAACCTGAGGTACCACTGTACGACCCTTTCCCTCCCCAAGAGAAATCTCTGAATAGAACCTCAGAGGACGCATGCCAAGCGGCTTATAAGGCATTCCTGTTCAAAAGGCATGGCTGCTCAGTTTCTCCATGAGTAAGTCATCTGGATAGCTTAAAGGAATTGCCTTACAAGGAAGATCTGAGCTGCTGTGAAATGCAAGCTATATTGGGTAGAAACAGTAACTGGGGGAAAATAGCTCAACCTTTCAAAAACTTGATATGAGGATGGTGCCTACCCTCCTGCTCATCTTTCCTACACTGCTACTTCTTTCAGGCTTTGCATATCTCTGTGCAACCGCTGCTCTGGCTTACTGGTTATCCTCCCCATCACTCTGGTGGAGCTATTCCAGTGGGACCAGTGCCACACATAGAGCCAGTACCACAGGTAGAGCCATGTGCTTGACCATGGCACTTCTTTGCTTTTGAGTTTCTAGTACTGTGGTGTTGGCAAAGGACAAGAATGTCTACTAGTGGTGGCCCCTCACAATGGGATTCCTTCCCAAGGAAGTCCCAGTCACCTGCACCTTGCAGGCTTTTGCAAAGATAGCCAAAAGCTTATTTCAGGCTGACTAAACAATTTTAATTATTTTAACAGGGATTATTAATTTGTTGCTTTGGCATCTGTTTTTGGTTAAGCGCTCGAAATAGTTCTGAAACTTCATTATTTCGCACTGAACACAGTAACTCTGTATTGGAATTGCTAGCAATTGTTAACTGCTTGCAAACCACTGCTTTTCAACCTATGGACAGCTCCTGCCAGCCAATGGACAAAGAGGATGGGAGTTATAGTGCAACATCATCTGGGGGCTCAAGGCTGAAGAACACTGTTGTAAACCACCTATGGAGCCTTTTCTAGCACTGAATGTCAGATTAAAGGGGTCCCCACCCCTTTTAAAGTGCAGTTATGAAGGGTACGTGGTTGGGGTTCTTTCTCCCTTCTAGACTAAAAACCTGTGGCGTTTTTCAGGTGGCTAGGAGAGTGGTATGGTGGCTCTATCTTCAGGTAGTGGCTTGGAGGCAATAATTCCTCAGTGAAAACACAAGGCAAATACACATGGTCTTAAATACTCATACTTAACTTTATTTCCGCAGGATAAGTTCAGAACGCAGAAAGGAGAAGTCCAGAGATGCAGCCAGGTGCAGGAGGAGTAAGGAATCGGAGGTGTTCTATGAACTGGCTCACCAGTTGCCTCTTCCCCACCATGTGAGCGCACATCTCGACAAAGCCTCAATTATGAGGCTAACGATCAGCTACCTGCGCATGAGGAAACTGCTTGATGCAGGTGAGATTTTACAGTTGGAGGAGGATGGAGTGAAAAGTAGGGTTTGGAACAATTCAGTGAATCAGAAGTTTTAACTCTTGTGTTTCAGTGATCTGAAATTGCATCATTTCTCAGCAGCTTAATTTCACTCCCCACCCCCTGCAGGTCAGGAAGGTCATTTCGTGAAATAATTGGAGGGGAAAACCCAAGAACTATCTTTTTTTCAGTGGTTGGAGCTCCAAGTGTGCCATCCTCTCACCCTCAACCCCTGTGACATTGCTTTTGCTAGAGAATGTTACCTCCACAAAATGATGAGCTCTGGAAGAGATAATAGACTTGCTACATTTTGTTAAAGAATGCCAGCAACACAAGCTTTTTCGAGGTTTATTTGCATATATACCCTGATCGGTTAAATTGCCGCTGTTTCCACAATATTTTCTCAGCTGCCTCTGCCATCTCTTAAAAGCCCATTTTATATACCTTTTACATAACCTTTAATACCTGGTTTATGCAGAGACAGACAGTAAAAGGCCGAGGGCATGGTTTGAAGGCACACGGTGCTCTAAACTTACTGAAACTAGTTTGCTCTGTGCTTGGATGGCACACACTGTAAGTTCCTGATTTACCTGAGAGAGCCAAAATGTGTGATCTCATCCACTTGTGAAAGTACTTAATGGGGTGAGGACTTTTCCCTGAGAAATTTGTGATGTTAAGTTATGTGAGTAGCATAGGTCATAAGTACGTATTAAAATTGGAATAGACACCATAGTAGTGCTGTCATTATCAGTCCATGTCTTGTTCTAACATTCAAAATCAAGTATTCTTCATTTTTTCCATTAAACTGGTTCTCTTGTTTTACTTCACAAACTTTTATTAGTTTTGCTATAGTGATGAATATCTCAGATACTGGAGTGTTGAGGCAATATTATTATTATTATTATTATTATTATTATTATTATTATTATTATTATTAACAACTGCCTTTCCTTTCAAGAAGAAATATAGAGGTGATTCACAAACAAACAAATTTATTATTTATACCCTACCCGTCTCAGGTATAAAAGCCAAGAAGCAAAATAATAATAATAATTTAAACAAATTAGAAAAAATAGAGCTACTTGTAATTAAAATACATAGTAAAACAAGTAAATTAAACCACCCATAATTAAATATACAACGAACAAGCTATTTAAAACAGCAAAACAGCTAAAACAGCTAAACAGCAATCAGAGTAAGAGATTCAAATGTAGGGATCTGGGAAATTGAATGCACTGGCTTCGTCTCCCAAATCTTTGACCAGGCATTATCCTCAGATTGGTAACCAGTAGCCTTCTCCCAACATTCCTTTAGACCCTGTAGGTTTCCCATATCAAATTTAATTAGTTGATAGTGTACTCTTGCAGTCACATCCTTAGTACAGTGGTACCCCGCAAGACGAACGCCTCGCAAGACGGAAAACCCGCTAGACGAAAGGGTTTTCCGTTTGCGAGTTGCTTCGCAAGACGATTTTCCCTATGGGCTTGCTTCGCAAGGCGAAAGCCCATAGGGAAATCTCCGGGACAGCGGGGAAGCGCAGCGTGTCTTCCCCACTGTCCTCGGACCTCCTCCCGCCGCCCGCCATCGGAACGAAGCTCCGATGCCGGGCGGGGGGGCGGGAACGCGTTCTCCCGCCGCCCGCTATCAGAACGAAGCTCCGATGCCGGGAGGGGGGGCGGGAACGCGTTCTCCCGCCGCCCGCCATCAGAACGAAGCTCCGATGCCGGGCGGGGGGGGGGGTGGGAACGCGTTCTCCCGCCGCCCGCCATCAGAACGAAGCTCCGATGCCGGGCGGGGGGGGGGCGGGAACGCGTTCTCCCGCCGCCCGCCATCGGAACAAAGCTCCGATGCCGGGCGGGGGGCGGGAACGCGTTCTCCCGCTGCCCGCCATCGGAACGAAGCTCCGATGCCGGGCGGGGGGCGGGGACACCTTCTCCCGCCGCCCGGCTTTGGATGGCTTTCCTGAAGACTTGGGGTGGGAGGAGGGTTTTCCTTCCCACCGCCAACATTCAGAATGCTGTTCTGAATGTTGGCGGTGGGGAGGAAAAACCCTCCTCCCACGCAAGCCCCGGGAACAGAGGGAAAGCGCTGCGCGCCTTCCCCTCTGTTCCCGTACCTGTCCTGAAGGCTTGCGGTGGGGAGAAAAGCCCTTCTCCGCACCGCCAGCCTGGCAAGCGGTTTCCCTAGGAACGCATTAATTGATTTTCAATGCATTCCTATGGGAAACCGTGCTTCGCAAGACGAAAAACTCGCAAGAAGAATAAACTTGCGGAACGAATTAATTTCGGCTTGCGAGGCACCACTGTATCAATATTGTATGTTCAAAGTCAGTCAAGGTTTTAGTGTCCTCCGAAATCTAAAATTTTGACTTTATAATGTATAATGTCCCTTATGAGCCTTCAGGCTACAAGAAGCCTTCATAAAGAAAATCTTGAGCTTTTATGTAGGTTCTTCAACTTTCATCTTTGATCAGCACCAACTTTCCACCTTTATGACTGGTGTATTTTAGCGATGATATGAATGAGTGCTGATGGAATCAAACAGGAAATATGAACATTGGTGACCGACCAAATTTGTCAAATGCCTAGGTGTCTGAAATCTAATGTGTCAATGTCTTAATGTCTAGGTGACCTGGAGGCAGAAGCTGAAATGGAGACACAGCTGAATTGCTTTTACTTAAAAGCTCTTGATGGATTTGTCATGGTTCTCTCAGAGGATGGAGACATGATCTACATGTCTGAGAATGTGAACAAGTGCATGGGGCTCACACAGGTAGGAAACCAGCATCTCCTCCCATCGCTTTAGCTGAAATAAAATATTTTCCTACAATACAGCCACAATCCCATTAACTTAAAAGTACTGTACCTGGGTTGGGTCCAGTGTTTTGTCTATGGAAAACACACTACTAGACTGAACTTTTTCTTTTGCAGTTCGAGTTGACCGGACACAGTGTGTTTGATTTCACTCATCCGTGTGACCAGGAAGAGCTGAGAGAAATGCTCACCCACCGGAATGGTAAAACAGAGACGTTCAAACTTTTAACTTCAGGTCACATGCCTCATCTGATTGCTTGCTACTAATTATGCTTGATTGATTTAAGGAACAGCCTAACCCAGGATACTTAAATTAGTCTGAAACACCCAAGGCTGCTTTTCAAAAGTTATGAAAAGTTTTTGCATTGCATGGTTTGTTACTTTTCTAACTGTTGTAAGCTTCCTTGCAAGGGTTTGAACACTAAAAGGTGGGAGTTACACAAATAAAATACCGATTTTAATATATTGAGTAGAAATTGTGATTCAGTTAATGCATTTGCCCAGCCAAGGATCCTCTTTGTGGGTCCAGAGCCCCTGCCTCCTTTGCACATATGGCAGTATGTGATTTGAGCAACCCTCACATAGATCTAGACATGCCTGGGCTGTACTTGTGCAAAATCCTCCCTTTTGAGGGCCTGGGGAGCCAGCCACTTGTAAAATGAGTAATGCTATATGCTCATAGACCCAACCCTTCCCATGCCACTGATGGATTGAGGAGTTTATATGAATCAAATCTATGTGCCTGTTGCCCCACACACAGTGGCGTACCGTGGGGGGTGCAGGGGGGGGTGGCCACACCGGGCGCAACATCTGGGGGTTAGGGTTAGGGGGTGCAAATTACTTGCCTTGCCCCGGGTGCTGACAACCCACGCTACGCCACTGCCCACACACATATGTGATCTTCAGGCAGGAGAGAATTTGAACCAGTACTGAGGATGCAAAATACTTAGCAACACTTGGTCTTTTAACCCTCAAGTGCCACTGTTTCATCAAGTGAAAAGTTTTGGATGTGGAGCAACCACGGTTACATCAGCACAATGAGGGATAAATTGTGCCTTTTGACATAAAGCGCCATAGCTTACTACAGGGAATTTTTACTTGGAACAGTGGGATGACAACTTAAGCAGGATCAGTGTTCTGCATTTGCCTCACACAGGATATTGTTGCTGCAGTTACTTGCACAAACTAATTTGTGTGCCTCGTCGCAAGTGTACTTATCTGTCGCTTCATGCCATGGGAAGCTCTGAGCAAATATCAGTACCCTGTACTGGTTTTCTCACCTGCAAAACAGTTCATCTATCTTAATGATAGGATCTGTTTTCTGCATGTGCTTGAGAAGTACATTTAAGTACCTCTTGAAGATAAACTAAATCTGGTTTGACCTGCCTCGGGATTTGTTTGTTTGCCTTTAATTAAAATAGGGGAGAGGCATTCTAAAACAACCTTGATACTATTCTGTTAATCCACCCACTTCTGAGTTGTTGTCCTCTAGGCCTTTTAAATTTTCGTCTACACTGAGCACCTATCTCCCACAATATTGACTACTTCTGTATTAATTGCCGCATTTCCTAAAACTGACATAGTAGCCATGTTCTCAACTCCAGCAGTTTCTACAGCATTAGACACCCTCCGAAACTCTCCAAAGTGCTTTAAACTCTGCTGGAAAAGAAACCGTAAAAGTATTTTTGCTGCATTAAGTCTGTATTTCAGTTGTTGCCTTCTGGATTCAATATTGCATGAAGTAGTGTATGGTACTGATATTTAACACTCTTGCATTAGGTCCTGTGAAAAAAGGGAAGGAACATAACACGGAGCGCAGCTTTTTCCTCAGAATGAAGTGTACATTGACCAGCCGAGGAAGAACTGTCAATATAAAGTCTGCCACATGGAAGGTAATCATACATGTGCTCTCAAAGCAACAGACTTTGACGTTGGAATGGCTGGTGTCAAGATTTACAGTAGACCCGCAGCTTACACACATGTGTACATGTTTAGCTGTACGCACTTGGTAAATAATTTTAAAAAAAAAAAATAGAGGAGGAAGGCACCTGGGGGGAAAGACTTTAGCAATCCCACCAGCCATTGAACCCAATGTTTGTTGCAGTCGGTGAGCCTTTGAGGAGCATCAAAGTAATGCTCGAATTAGCAATGGCTTTTGCTGCAAATTAGATACATAAGCTTGCTGCCTTTTGATGTTCCTCGGGTAATTAGAGTCGGTAGCTAAAGTTCAGTTGCCGAATGGTGAGGCTCCTTGTCATACAGTACCCCTTTCAACTTGTGTTGTTTGATTCCCTCCGTTACTTTGTCCTATACGGTAACCAATAAACACACAAGACGTAATTGGCTGTACTTTTGAATAAATAAGGTATACTATTCATTGTATCAAATTGTAGTATACCTTATTTATTCAAAAGTACAGCCAGTTACGTCTTGTGTGTTTATTGAGTATGTTTCTCGTAATCACAGGTTTGTTGTTGTTTTGCTATATGGTAACGAAGCTCTCCTTTTCACCCCAACACCCAGGTACTTCATTGCACAGGGCACATTCGCGTCTATGACAATTCCAACAACCAGACAGTGTGTGGATATAAAAAGCCCCCCATGACATGTTTGGTGTTAATCTGTGAACCCATCCCCCATCCATCAAATATTGAAGTCCCCTTGGACAGCAAGACGTTCCTCAGCCGCCACTGCCTTGACATGAAATTTTCATACTGTGATGAAAGGTAAAAGCTCTGAGTGAAAGTAAGCGGTGCCTGGCTTTTCGTGTGAATGGTGGTAGGTGGATTTGCGTGTTGTTACTAGCCTCGTCGTGTTTCCTTGACACTTTATTTGGCAAGAGTTAAACAGGTAGGTCCTTGGGTGCACCCTTAAGTTTTGCAACTCCAGAATCTGAAAACTGATGATGCAAAATGCTTTCCAGATAAATTACGTGATGAATGTTCCATTTTAAGTTATGCTTACCCTTTTCATAAGCTTGTAACCAAAATCAAGGTGGTTTTATTTAAAAAAACTTATTGAGGCAAGAACGCACTACATTGCCACCCAGTGGCCAAAAGAATTGAATACTTTATGCTAGCCAGTAACTTAAACATGGCACTTCTAAACATTCAACTTGGAGCAGAAGTGATTCTCACCATGAACACTAAGGGCATTTTATGTAGTTTCTGTTGCACCTTTATGTAAAACATTTTCATCCCATGATATTATGCCCTGGATGCATCTTATCTAAAACTCAAAGGAACAAAACACTCACTAAGAGTCAGAATATGATGCATGGCGATGGCAGTTATTCTTGGAATTTGTGGCAAGCTGAAATTGGTGGCATGAATTGGACTTAAAAGTTGTACTTGAATTCACAGACCTGAAGCAGCTGCCTTCTGTGTTAAATTACTGCTAGTTGTGATAAGGAGGCATATATCTGCTGTGATAAAAAGCAAAATGTAGGAGGGAGACATACCTATGTATTGGCTGTATCATTGCATTTGCGGAATGACATCAGTGGAACCTCCCTCCATGTGTCACCTGCCCCAAAATTTGCTCTGGAAGGTTGAAGGGACACAAACCCACCCCCCACCAAGCATATATTTTGGGTAGGGGAAGCAGAGGGCGGGGAAGTTCTGTTGCACTTGCAGAAGTCATTTTGCACAAGCAACAATTTAGTTGGGCATGATGAGAATCTTGGAGGGCCTTGGTTATCAGTGTCTTGATTAGATTAGGGAAGCGACTTCCCCGTTTTCTGAAAAATGAGTTATTTACAGGGAACACACAGGCTGGATCTAGACACATCAAAGAAGCGTTTCAGTTTAAAGCATTGTAAATTTAAAGAGGGAAAACAGGTAGAGTAAAACAGGACCCCAAGTCACCATCTGGTGGCACAAAGTTATATCGCACATGCAACACATATAAATCACTTTTTCTTTACCAGTCTAGCCGAGTCCTCATTTAATATGGGAAGTGACATTAATTCATCCAGATGTTCCGAAAAGCCACAAGCCACTTATTTGCTAATGTAGCTAACCAAGTGGTTTGTGTTTGTTTCAGTAGCTCGCAGACTGGCTGTGGTTTTCCTTGAAGTCACCTGCCCTTATTAAAAAGCAAAATACCTGACCTTAAATAAAGTTTTATCTGCCCTGCAATATGTAGAAATATTACTGAATTAACATCCTTTCCCCCTTTTGTTTCAAGGATTACGGAACTGATGGGATACAACCCCGATGAGCTCCTGGGTCGCTCCATATATGAATATTATCATGCCCTGGACTCTGATCATCTGACCAAAACACATCATGACAGTAAGTGAGGGGGGGGCGTGGTTTAAGAAATGAGATAGTTGCAGGCTGAAGTACACTCTCTGTTGCTTACTTCCAGCTATCATTCACCATAGTGCCAGCAACATTCTAAAGGCTATGGATTGTTAACCATTTTAGACATTGCCTAACAATGTAAATAATGTGTGTCTTTCTGCCTCCAGTGTTCGCTAAAGGACAGGTGACCACCGGGCAGTACAGAATGCTTGCCAAACATGGGGGCTATGTTTGGGTCGAGACTCAAGCAACCGTCATATACAACAATAAGAATTCTCAGCCACAGTGTATAGTGTGTGTGAATTATGTCTTGAGGTGAGCTTTCTGTGTTACCTGTGGGTATTTAGGGGTGGGTGTTTTTCGATGCCAAAGATCAGTCTAGTGACATCAGTATGCCTAAACAGCCTGGCTATCTATCTATCTATCTATCTATCATCTATGTAGTTCATGGTATTTATTTACTCTCTCTCTCTCTCTCTCTCTCTCTCTCTCTCTCTCTCTCTCGCAATACTGTTGCCTTTGCTAGCAAAACATATCTCCTTCCATTTTAAGGGAAGCTATGAAAACCTGCCGTGTGAATGCATAGTTCATATAACCCAGTTTGTATGTGTCTTTGCCCATTTTCATATTATGCTGTCAGAGATGCCCAAGGAAATTGCTAACAAGGCTAACTAGAAAATGGTAACATCTTGAGTCATACCGTAGCTCCTTTATTCCTATGGATTGCCTCATTCTGTATTGGGGGCAGTTAAAGCGTGTGTACACATGTACACACACACACACACACCACACACGTAATATTAACCCAATGTACATACATTTTTATAGCTTGGATTGTGCCTCAATCGTACTGCATATATATTAAAACTGAAAAACACCAGTAGACACCTGTATCTGTAAATGCATCCTAGTCTGCTTGTGTGTGTCCAGTCTAGTCCGCCATGCAGACTCCCACAGGGCATTAACCCCATTAATGCAAATAGCGGAACTGCCATTGCAGGGAACATGCCTGGGTTAAATGTGTGCACATGCTACCTGCACGATCTATCTGCCTTGCAATTTAATCATTCTCTGGAACTCAAGTACCGTGCAGCATTCAGAGATGGAACGCTGAATGGACCCACCAGTACCTTCTAATGCCTTACACCATTGTGTATGTTAACACCCATGTGCATATGTATTGGGTGCATGTGTTGGGGGCGGGGAAGGGTAAATGAGGCTCAATTGAGCCACGGAGGGCAATGTTCTGTGAACAACCACTGTGTCTGTGGTGAGACCTCATAGTGCGTGCTCTTAGTATATAGTGCACTAAAAGAACAGTCTATAGAAGGATGCATCTATATTCCTTAACAGAACCAGATATCTGTCACACCATATTTGCCTCATCATTAGGGCTTTTCCAAACAAGTAGAAATTTGTTTTTGTTTTTAAAAAAGGTTCTATAGAACTCTTATGTTCTACCTTAAAGGTTGTAGACTACAAATATCTTCCTATCTTATAATGCTTAAATATATAAAACAAAATATATAGGGAGAAACAGCTTATCAACTGTGTAGATGACTACAGTGTTACGGCTTTCATCAAGAGAACATACCTTGGATAAATTAATGTGGCCTGAGATGTTACACTTTGCATACTAATCTCTATTTTGTCTGCATCCTTCAGATTTGTTCTCATATTGCACTAATCCGGAAAGCCTCTTGCCAGGCTACTAATGAACATGTCCAACCCAGTCTTACGAGTTTGCTAACCACTGAGTTCAGGCTAATTCCCAAGTAAGTGTTGCAGTGGTTTTAGAGTATTGTTCTGGGTTCCTCAATGAGAAGAAGAATAGCAGGAGATCAGTTTCCTGGAAAATCAGCTTGCCCGCTACTAGCAATCTTTCCCTGCAATGTGCAGCCATAGGGGGAAGTGTTTGATGTGTTCTATAGGTAGGTGTGGTCAGTTCACCATATGGACTGAGTTAACACCGTAAAATTCTCTGCAACGAGCAGGGGTCCTGCGGCAGGAAAGAGATAGAAAGTGTTGGAAGCCACTAATGTGATAAACTTAGGGAATCAAAGGCTACAAGGTGCTCTCTAACATTCCTCCTCTTCTCTTCTGCAGTGGCATTGTTCAGGGCGATTTGATTTTTTCACTCCAGCAAACCGAGTGCATGTTGAAACCAGTGGATTCCCCTGAGATGGGGATGATCAAAATACTGGACAAGACTGAACTGGAAGACAGCAACAGCCTCTATGAGAAGCTTAAGAAGGAGCCAGATGCGTTAACCTACCTTGCTCCTGCAGCTGGAGACACCATAATAGCGTTGGATTTCAGCAATGATGGTGGGTGGGTGTTTAATTCAGGCAGCCTTCTGACGGGCAGAGTTGCCTATGAAGTACATTAAAAGCAAGCGGCATGTTTTTCCGGATGCCCTCAGGGTGTCGCAAGTGTAATATGTGCTGGGTTTTTAATGAGGCCCTTTAAGGTGCGACGCAACACTTAGGGTGATGACTTTTCTTTAATTTTTGTAGAGTCTGATGAGCAGCAGTTTGATGACGTTCCCTTGTATAACGATGTAATGCTCCCCTCATCCAGTGAGAAATTGCAGAGTATAAATTTGGCTATTTCCCCTCTGCCTGCTTCCGAAGCTACAAAACCACTCCGTAGCAATGCGGACCCAGCACTCAATAGAGAGGTGGTGTCCAAGCTGGAGCCCAGCACAGAGCCCTTGGATCTTGCTTTCTCCATCCGCCGGATGCAAGAAAAACCAGATACTCCTTCTGATGGAAGCCCCAGCCAAAGCCCACCCGAGGTTAGTCATCTGATAATCTGCTGCAGATCTGTAATTTTTAACTGAATCTCTGTTGCCCGACCTGTAAATAAAATAAATATTTTCAATGTCAAATTTGTCAGCTTTGTATCCCGCCCTTCTTCCAAGAAGCTTGGGGGCAGCATACATTTCACCATCAGCTTAAAACAATCCAGTCAACATAACATGATCCAACACGAAATAACGCAACAGGAGAGCTAGACAAATCAAGCTCCTTTAGGATCATAGAAAGCTGATTTATGTTGGTCCATCTAGATCAGTATTGTCTACTCTTGACTGGTAGCTGCATTCCCAGGATTTCAGACGGATCTCTTACTCAGCCCTACCTTGAAATGCTGAGGATTGAACCTTGCAGAACAGCTCCTCTTGCTTCATTTGACTCATAACAGATGGCGGCTTAAGGCAAGCCTTTTAAGCTGTATAGAATTCTTTCATCTGACAACTTGCAACCCTTCTTTACAGATGAGCAAAGGAAAGGATTACTAGATTGAGGAGGGGATTTTAGAAAGGTGATTTTTAGTGAGGGCAAGGGGGGGGTGTCCCTTGAATTCGGGGATATATTTATGACATTAAATATGTGTGAGCTGCAACAGCCACGGGCTGCGTCGTCCTGGAATCTTGCAGCATCCTGATTATGGAAGCTCTGATGCTTTGCATTGTGGGAAAATCTTTGAACATAGACCACTTTTAAAATTGGGTGAGGGAAATGCACAGTTTGTTGAATAGAGGTGTGGATTGTCTTTACAGCCCAGTAGTCCTCCTAATGACTATTGCTTCAATGTGGACAGCGAGATCGACAGCGAGTTCAAGTTGGAGCTGGTGGAAAAGCTATTTGCAATAGACCCAGAGTCCAAAAACCCATATTCTATGCAGGTGAGCACGTTGGAGGAAACACTCACTTTTTAGGCCTCCGTTGTGGCCGCATTTAGTTTTTTAAACGTTTACTAATACTGTGCAGTGTTAACCGGCAATGTTTTTGATAGAACTTGTGTGACCTAGAAGCTGGAATGCTCAGTTCAACCTGGGATGAGGGATAAAACACAATAATTGTGTACATAGCTGTGTTGCTCACTGTGTCCGTTCATTTAAATGGGGCTCCCACATTTGGAAATGGCAGGAGGTTTGGAAAGCAGCAATTTTTGGTAGATGGGAGCCCTAAAGTTGGATCGACCATCACTGCAGTCTTGACTTCCCTGTCAAAAGATGCAATTACACTTTCTTGTGCTGACATTTCAGGAAACTGATTTAGACCTGGAAATGTTGGCGCCCTACATACCCATGGACGATGACTTCCAGCTGCGTTCCTTTGACCAGCTTTCTCCGCTGGAGAACACTTCGGCAAGCCCTCCTTCCAAAGTGGGCACCGTCACGGGATTTCAGCCTGCCGCAGACAAGATACTACCTGCGACGGTCAAACATGAGGATGAATCGACGACACTGATAGCTCCTGTTCACATCGTCGTAGAAGCCAACAGTGCCCCAGCATCACCCTATGCCGAGAATCTCAGTCGAACGGCGTCCCCAGTCAGAGAAGGAAAAGGCACGACAGAGCAGAAAGAGAAGCCGAGTCCAGGAGTGCCAAACTTGTTAACAGTCACGCTGGGTAAAAGGTAGTTTGTTTGTCTTTTTTTAAAAAAAATATGTTGTCCACTTGATCTTAAAACCAGTCACATAGCCCATTCGGTAGAGCAGGACACTCTTAATCTCAGAGTCGTGGGTTGAAGTCCCACATTGGGCAAAAAAGGTTCCTGTATTGCTGCAGGGAGTTATCACAGTTGACTTGATACCTATTGATTCTTTTACTAAGAAGATATCGCTAGGTTTCAGCCAAATACTGTCCTATAACACAATTCCAGGTTTAGGCTTCAGGTTATCAGTCCCTGCCTGGATAGTTTTGATCGTGACTAAAACATTCGCTTCTATGGTTTACTTGAAAAAGACTGTGTGCTCCTCTTCCTGGCAGCACTTATTGCTGCTGGTAATGCTGCCTTGGACAAAGTTTCAGTGACTCTTCCATAGGTGCCAAACTTCTACACAGGAACCCTGAAACTGGTTGCAAGTTAGAGCCGAAACAGAAACGCAGGAACTTTGTATGATGTCTTCATTGCCAGACTATTTCTCCCCTCCACCCCCAATGTCCTGATTGTTTCATATGCATTGGGAATATTCTACACGGGGGAACGTGCAAACCTTTGATTGCACCACTTCCTTGGCATCAGTCTGTCTCGGAAGTTGCTTCAGCCTTACTGAGGTGCAGTTGAGCTCGTACCCCATCCTGTTGTTGACTGACCACTGCTGGTCATGCACACATACCCTGCCCCAAACCTTTGAGCATATCCTAAAGGCTGTTCTTACTCTCTGAAATATGGTCTTCAGGTCTCTCTGAACACTGTATTTTCTCTCCATGTGATCCCAGCTGTATGTAGCTACAGTGGTACCTCAGGTTAAGTACTTAATTCATTCTGGAGGTCCGTTCTTAACCTGGAACTGTTCTAAACCTGAAGCACCACTTTAGCTAATGGGGCCTCCTGCTGCCGCTGTGCCGCTGCCGCACGATTTCTGTTCTCATCCTGAAGCAAAGTTCTTAACCTGAAGCACTATTTCTGGGTTAGCGGAGTCTGTCACCTGAAGCGTATGTAACCCGAGGTACCACTGTATTCAATACTCTTCTTTGTGTTGTACCGCACACATCAATGTTCTGTGAACCCAAACCCCTTGGAACTCACATTTTTACAAGCAAGAGAGCATTGTGGAACTTACGTTTTTTCTCTTAAAGCCATGACACACATGCAGTTGGTTTTAACACAGGACATTTGCCTGGAGGGGAGTGGGAATTAACCTTCTGAACTTGTTATTTTCAGTAAATCAACTGCTGCAACAAATGAAGAAATTAATCCAAAGTTAATAGCTCTGCATAATATTCAGAGGAAACGGAAAATGGAACAGGATGGCTTGCTTTTCCAAGCAGTGGGCATTGTAAGTTTTTAAATATACAGTCCCTCCCTATTAAAAAAAACCATGAGGTTGTTGCTTTTTTAAAAAAAGCTTAAATTTTCTGCGGTGGTAACTTAAATCAAGTTGTAGCCATGTGGTCATGGTTCTGTCCTTCATATCAGGTGATGGCACAGTTGTTTGAACATTTAAAAATAATCCTATTCAACACCACTGAACCATAGGCGTTCCTTTTTAACATGAGTTCTCTTGCCTCAAGACCCTGGAACGGATCTGGCAGAACAAGGTTTGGTGGGCTTGCACTATCTGCTCTCCATTCCCCATTGGTCCATTACCTGGAGCTGATGTTTGTAGCCTGGTACACTTGCTTGCTGTGCCACTTAGGGTGACCAGAATTTATAAAGACAAACCCACACCTTAGTTGCTACAGTTCAGAAATTCTAGCATCAAACCCTTATGATTTACCAGGAAGTCTGCACAAAACCTTGGCCCAAGGAGTCCATTTAATCCCATTTTTAAGGTGGGGAAGATGGATGGGTGCGAGTGAATAGCCGAAGGCAAACATTTTACAACATGGCAGAGAATTATCATTTTTGCACTTTTTGTTCACACCATTAGCCCAAAAGTCTTGTTTGGGGTATGCTTCCTGCCTGCTCCTATGCATTTCACATGGGAGGGAGTCCTCAGCATAGCTGTCAACTTTTCCCTTTTCTTGGGAGGAATTCTATTTGGAATAAGGGAATTTCCCTTTAAAAAGGGGAACGTTGACAGCTGTGGTCCTAAGTCAATGTGCATAGGAGCCTCAGAGATAAACAACGGTCAAAGACCAGGCTGAAATTTTATAGGTGGTGTATCTGGCAGCAACTATTCCAAGGTTGTGTGTATGTGTGGCGGCCTTCACCTGCCCCCGCCGAAGCCTCATCAAAATAAACAGGATCTCTTTTTGCACAGTTTATTGTTCCTAAACTTTTATATTCAGATTTTTTCCTGCAAAATACTGTGTTTTTTTTAAAAAGGGCCATTTTTACACAGCAGCTGGTTAACTCAGCAGTATGTCTGTATGGTATCTCTGTGGTTATATTAATTGGACTTTTCTGTGTGTGTTTGTGTGTTCATTTTTTTAAGGGCACATTACTGACACAGTCAAGTAGTCCTGGGGGAAATGTGTCCCTGGCTTGGAAACGCGTAAAAGGATGTAAATCTAATGGGCAGAATGAGGTGTCGGAGAAGACGGTCATTTTATTACCATCAGGTCAGTGGCTGTTTATGGAGCAAGACCAAGTCAGGTGCTCTCTCTCTTTTCCTCTGCCATTGTTAACCCGGAGATGTGTGACACCCCCCCAAAAAACAATAATAATTAATAATACTGAAATGAATGGGGAAGCCAAAAAAGTTTCCATTAACCTTAGGATCCAGAGCCTTGTCTGGGTGGGACAGAATTTACCTGCTGCTAGAAGGAAAGAACCGTGGCTTCTGTATTTCCCCCCTACACATTTGCACAAAACCTGAAGCAACAGAAAGAATGTCAGTGGCAGAGGATCCACATTGCATGCAGATGATTTCATGTTCCATTCCTGGCATCTGCAGGTGGGGCTGGGAGAGACTCTGCTGGTCTGTGTAGACCAGGAGTCGGCAAGGTTTACTGGCCATGGGCTGGATCACTCCCACAGAGATTGTCCATGGGCCGGACTGGTACAGTGCGATGCCGGAAATCATGTCTGTGCATGTCCGCGGTGCCAGAAATCGCTTCTGTGCATGGCCAGATACCAAAAATCGCACCTGCACAGAAGAGATTTTCGGCATCTGGACATGTGCAGACACAATTTCTGGTATCTGCATGTGTGCAGACGCCATTTCTGGTGTCACTTGGCGAGTCGTCGCACTGCGCTGGTTTAGTGCAGCGCGGGGGGGACTTGCCGAGCAGGCGGCTCGGTTTGGGGGCAGCTCGTGGGCCAGTAAAACAGTCTTCGTGGGCCACATCCGGCCCATGGGCCGCACGTTGCCGACCCCTGGTGTAGACAGTCCTGAGCAATGAACCAATGGCCTGACTCCGTACAATACAGCTTCCTGTGTTCCTAACATAAAAGGAGCAGGGTGAGAGAACAAGCCCTTATTGGCATAACGGTTACATGAGGGCCTTAGTTTTGTGTCTACCTGGAGACGGAGGGTGGTGAGGAGAGGGAGGATGGGCTGAACATGGTTATTTGGAGTCGGATGGAAGAAATAGTTTGTGGAGGAGAGAGGAGGACTAAGCAGCCACTCCCTACTGGTGTGTTTTGCCTAAAAATAATTAAGCCTTGCAGCCAGATTCTGGGCTTAGAATAGCTGGGTTCTGCAACCTATGTAAAATGTGCATCTTTTTAGGATAGGGGCAGACCCCATGACCCTGACTGTTGTTTAGTTGTGTCCGACTCTTTGCGACCCCATGGACCAGAGCACGTCAGACCCTGACTACTTGTGGTCTTACTCAGTCTTTCCTCTGGCTTGCAATTTCAGGAGGCGTTGCCCACACCCTTTTTCTGGGATATATTTTCATAGCCATAATGGCTAGAAACTTGTTTTCTTTGTGTGTTTTGTAATAGGAGTCTGGTCCCACATTCAGTGCTCTCCCCCCCCCCCCCGCCCCCAGCCTTCATCAGAAAACTGCAGCATGCACACAGGGCAGTCTAGCAGCCCTCGCGCAACTTGTATTCTTTTGGATTTGCCAAACCAGTGTTAACCCTGAAGAATGTATGTGTTTTGTGCAAGTTAACACATGCTTCCTTTTCCCTTGCAGATATAGCAAGTAAACTTCTAGGGCAGTCCATTGACGAGAAGGGACTCCCGCAACTTACCAGCTATGACTGTGAAGTAAACGCACCCATACAAGGCAACCGCAACTTGCTACAGGGTGAAGAGTTGCTCAAAGCCCTGGATCAAGTCAACTGAGCTTTCCCCACACACAACTCTTCTGTTTTCTTGGACACTGGTGACCCACCACCTAAAAGCAGTCTATTTATATTTTCTATATCTGATTTTAGAAGCCTGGCTACAAATACTGCACTAATTCAGTTAGTTTGGTTCTGATCCCCTTTCTACTTTGGACAGTCTTTTAAAAACAACAATGTTCTTTATGTAACAACAGTAACTTGGCTAATGGTGCATTTTTTTGGTACATAAACAATCAAAAGTCCAGTATGTTTAGAACACACTTGCAATGGCAGCTTTGAAGTAGGCACCTTTTTAAAAAGTATTTATTTTTTATTTTGGATCAAGCGTTTTTGTCACTGAAAATATTTCTATCAAGTGAATCACCACCGTGGTGAAACTGTCTAAGCCTTCTCTCACGTGGTTGAAGGCATTGTGTGCTCTGATGTTCAGATAAATTTTTACTTTACTTTTTTTAAAGAAGAGAAACATTTCTTTGCAGCGGTGCATTTGTAGCCACAATCGCACAATCTATTTTCTTAAGAAAATAAAAATGAAATGCCAGCAGTTCCTCATGCAATATATACTGCATTTACAAAGCTAGTTTTTAAAGAAAACTTTTTTTTATTTCTTTTCTCTTCCACTTGTTTATGTTTACTGCCTGTGAAATCATGTAGAAATTTTGGAGTAATTCTATTTTTTTGTCATGTTGTACTCGAAAAAGAGGGTTCTTAAATGCTGTGTTTTAATGTCCATGTATGGTTCGGGGGGAAAGAGAGTTCGATCTGGAGGGGCTAGCAATGTTTGGGGCATTTTTAAGTTGCATAAGAGATGACCAGGGAGAGGGTTATAAAATTATGATTAGTCGTGGAGCAAGCAGATAGGAGATTCCCCCCTCCTTTTTGCAATATTTAAACTCTGGCTTTCCCAGTGAAGATTGTTTCAGGACAGAAGGCATTTCTTCACGCAATGCATTAATTCACTGCGACAATGTGGTGGCGGCCATTGGCTTATATGGCTTTTTAAAAGATTACCCATGGAAGATAGGCCTATTGGTAGCTGCCTGCCACAATAGTGGAGGGGAATCTGTGTTTGGGGGGGGGGCCATGGACCTCTGAATGCCAGTTTGCAGGGGAGGGCTGTTGTTGTTTTCACGCCCTATTTCTGAGCTTCCTCAATGCATCTGGCCGGACCTTTGGTCTACTGCAGTAGGGATCTTCTTACGTTACGTATGTGGATGAATTATCCTTTAATTGAAAAACAATGTTTTTAAAGTAGTCGCTTTGCCACCTCTGCAGGGAGAACAGTCCCCCCCTGCCTATAGCTCTGAAAGTTCATGCTAATATTGTGTACCTAATAATTGAATTTTAATGTTCCAACGACCCTGTTTGGTAGAGGTGATCTTTCAAGCAAATTGTAAAGCATCCCTGCCTTCTTAGCAGAGTTGCCTAGTTTCATCATTCAGTTGCTTGGTAATAATTGATGTTTTGGTTTTTAATGCACCTTGTTGCTATTAACATCCATTTGTTTTATTTTTGTTAACCATAGATTTCAGTAATGCTGAATATATTTTAGGAACCTTTTTATTTAGGTAATATGTCACAAAACATCTTCGTTTCCTTCTTTGTGCTGTATAATAATTATCCCTCCTCCATTTCTCTCCCCCCCCTTACGTGGTTGGATCTAACACTAACTGTATTGTTTTATTACATCAATAAACTATATGTGGACCAGGCCTGCAACTGAAGTGTATATATCTGCAGATGACAGTTAATTTCTAGTGTCTATAATTCTTTTCATTGGAAGTAGTCTTGCAAGTGCCTTTAGTTCACATGTCAAATTTACTTTGCCACCGTAAAGTCACTGAAAGTATAGAGCAGTGATATAGGATTGGATGCCTTTAAGCTTCCGGAATTCATGAAACTTGGGTCTGGCAGAAGGATACATATCTGCACATGTATATGTCTATTCAGAAGCAAGCGTCATTGTTTTCAGTAAGTTTGCTATGGGGTTGCAGCTTGGATCAGACAGGACAATTTCTGGACATCAAGAGCTGAAGAGGTTTTAGTATTGGAACAGAACTGAAACAACCTCCCACACTTGTTTAACCCGAACGTCACTCATAGTTAACTGCAAGTTCTCTGTTTACCCAGTTAAACTGATGGGGGTGAGGAGGAAATAGTGTTGCTATTTGGGAATCAGAAATCTTTCCCAGGCTACTGAAAATCACATAGATCTACCAGTGGTTCCTAATTTACCTGCTGCCCAACGCTGCTGTAGACCTCACTGAAACCATGAAGACACAAGACACATTGGGTAGAATTCAATATCACGCTCTCCCAGACATTCATCTGCGCAAACATTCCTGCTTCCCAGTGGAACGCTTCTTTCCTTGCCATCCCATTTCTTTTGCAGTGCCTGCTTCATGGCATATGTTGAGATCTTTGCTTAGGATGCTCTCCAATACACACGGCATCTTTAAAAAACCACCCCAATATTTTTCATCCAACCTAGGTCCTGGGATTCTATACCGAGAGCACCCAAATACCACACCAAGAAGGTTTCAGCTAGCAAGCAATAATGCAAGTGAAGCTTTTATGTGCAGTGTGTCTTCTATCATCTGAACACATTTGTGTTTCAGCCCATTCTGCTGTGAAACCACTGGAACAAACTGGAAGTGTGCCAAAAGCTATGGAATTCTAGAATCACAAGTCAACTGGAACGTACATACCTCATTGGTGGACTGAGAAATCATGGAAGAAAACAGCATATTCCAAAATAGCGGGAAGAGATTGCTGGGTTTGTGCATGCTCCATGCTGCTGAGGCAGTATTACAGTTGCCAAATGGAAGTCTTCAACTTTGTAGCTGTTCCACACAATGACTAACATGAGGGATGTTAGCTCTAGTAGTAGCCAGTATTTTAATACTGAACATGCACATACTTAGTCTGCACATAAGCAATCCAAATTCTGCAGCCTCTAAACTTTGCACAATATACAGTGGTACCTTGGGTTAAGTACTTAATTCGTTCCAGAGATCTGTTCTTAACCTGAAGCACCACTTTAGCTAATGGGGCCTCCTGCTGCTGCCACGCCGCCGGAGCACAATTTCTGTTCTCATCCTGAAGCAAAGTTCTTAACCTGAAGCATTATTTCTCGGTTAGCGGAGTCTGTAACCTGAAATGTATGTAACCCGAGGTACCACTGTATTCTGATTTTGCTAGTCGGAAGAAAAGGCAAGGAGCTATCCTGGTCACTTGGTGATGATTATTTTTTTAAGAAAAGAAAGCCACATTTTGTGCTATTGAATTTCAGTGTATGCGTAATATAAGGGAATGCCATGCTCCAAGCAAACTAGTTCAGTGGTCTGTTGGTTTCTCCACCATGCCTGGCAATGTAGCCAGTTTTGGAGATCTTCACACAAATCTCCCACACCTCAAACATAACCTAGGAGTACAGGAAGTGTCCCTTAGAATTGGGGATACCTTTCTTTGCACATCAGAGCCCTGATTCAGTTTCAAGAAACAAGTGTCACATGCTTGTGTGCAACTCTGATTTTAACTATGCTACCTTAGCTTAAGTCTGCTTATACATAACTGACATTTTAAAGTTAATTCCTACACACAACCAAATATAATGTGTGCTATATTGTATGATGTCTTGCTGACGTTAGGCTAATTCTTTGCATCTGGAATAGCTGCCTTAATTAGTTTCAAGTAACTGGCAACTTAAAAGAAAATGTATGTACAGTTTGCTGTGCTGACCAGGTCTCATCCCTTTACAATTTTTATAAAACACAACATACTATCTCATATTTAATACATTGTAAAATGTAACATGCTGTTCTTTAAGACACTGCAATCTGCCTGCTCACAATGTTTTTTGTTTTTTGTTTTTGGTATGTTTTAATCAGTTTCTTCTGTTCTTTCATTACAGAACTTCCCTTCCCAAATATACTATTGTCAGTCCATCAGAGAAGTTCAGTAGCAGAAATGAGAGCAAAGTTGCACTCTCTTCATATTGACTAAGGCTGCAAGTTAACTCTACAAGCCAGCTATTTATGGCAGTTCCAAATAGTTTTACATTCTTGGCAATGATAAGGCAGCCCTCCATCTGTGTGGATTGGGTGGTCTGTTGCCAAACCATTTCCCTAAACAGGTGCAAAGGAGAATGGGGCTTACTATACTCTGCTTTTAATAGCTTGAAAGCCCATATGAAGGCAACATATGATGATTCTTGAAAACCAGTATTCAGAGGTACACTATCACCAGCTGTGGAGGTTCCACATGGCTATTAAGCACTGATAGACAAGTTCTCAGAGAACAGGTCTAGCAATATTCTGAGCCACAACGTTTCACCCGCCCAAATTCCTTCATCTATTTATGCAACTATTAAAAGTACATCTAGAGTTGCCATATTTTGAAGAGCAGAAAAGAGTACACTATGATGGCCATTCAAAGCAAATAAACGTGTCTCAAGCGCATGGCAACCCGACCTAAGTGCACTCTACTACACCTCTAAAACCGATCTCTGATAACCCAGTATTATACTTACCCGGGATGGCGAGAGAGAGAACCGGTTCTCTTAAGAGCGCTTTTTAAAAAATCCCCTCGCCTCCTACGCACCAGGTCGACCATACAAAACAATCCCTTAAGACGGAGGCGTACGAGGAGGGAGACGCTCCCCAGATAGCTGCTCCCCATCCTTGTGGGCTGCCGTGGTGTGCCCTGCTGCGCCGGCTCCAGCTCGGAGCTGAGAGAGGATGCAGGAGGCGGATGCAAATGAGTCAAACGTCCCGGCCGCTCCCAGCCAATCGGGTCAGCCGGGCCACGCCCCCTATACGTGCGGTCCAGCACCCGAGACAGAGCCGCGGGCGTCTCCCGCCGCTCCCCTCCCTGCATCAGCGAAGAGGGCTCCTTGCTTGACTGCCCTCCTACGTGTGTTTTGGCATGTTGGATTCCGCCTGCATGCGATGGGATGGCAGAGAGGGGGATGCGGAGTCACCGCTTGATGACCCTCCCTCAGGGCGCTCAGTCAGGATGCGTCCCCATCACTGAACACAGCCCTGGGCATAGCCAGGGGGTCGGGGGGGGGTAGCTGCCCCTCTTAAATGAAGTAAATGAATAAAAATACTTAACTAAAAGTAGAAATAATCAGAATAGTTGGAATTTGTTTTAGTTTTAGGTTTTTTTAAAAAAAAGATGAAAAAAGGCGTGTTCTTTGTAATTTTGCAAAATGTACTTGTTAACCACCTGGCCTTAATTTTTTTTATTTAGCTTCCTAGTTTCCAAACACTGAGAATTTTTCTGAGCACTTGGGGGGGGGGAGAAAGTAATTTTAAAACAACTGTTGTTGAGACGTTTCATTCTGAATCTGCTAGACAGAGCCAGACAGAGGATGATGTCAGGGGGTGTCATCCCCCCCCCCAGGCACACCTTACATGGGAGCAAGCAAAGAGAGATTATGTAAAATGCAGGAAGAGGAGAGTGAAATCAAGTGGCTGTTATTGTTGGACCACTGTCCCTTTTGCCCCTAGGGACCTCCTGTTTATGGAGGGGAAAATGTGTTAGCTGGTTTATTACAGAATCGACCCAAAGAATTATTACACATGGATGATGGAGGGGAGAGACAGAAAGGGCTGTGTCAGTTCTCACGAACTGGAAACTGTGTGTCTAACTAATGTAGCCTTAATGAGTAATAGTATTTTTAAATTTTTTGCAGACACATAATCCTGCTGATTCATTGTGATTAATAAAGATGCATGGGTCCCAGATTCAACCCCCCCTTTATGAAACACTAGGGAGCTGTTGCCAGTCAGTGCCAGAAAATCTTGAGTAGATAGACCAGAGCAGATTATACCAAGCAGATTGACCCTGTCTAAGGCAGCTTCCTATGTTCACTGTTGAATTCAATAGGAGTCACTTCTCTTTTTAATGTAATTTTTATTAAATTTTCTGTTTTACAATTTCAGATAAACATTTTACATACTTTAAGATATCCAATGACTTCCCTTCCTCTTTTTCCATGGTTCATTTTGCATATCTTACATCCCTGCATATTTTACAATAACTATTCCAATCGGTTTTCCACTATTACATCCGTCAAAAATTATTTACTCTGTTGAATTTATCTTAATGCTGCCAACATTTTCAGCTGTACTCAGTTATTTTCCATATACTTAATAAACATTTTCCAATCTTCTTTAAATGTATGTTCTTCTTGATCTCTTATTCTTTATGTTAAATCTGCAAGTTGTGCATATTCTGTCAACTTAAGTTGCCAATCTTTAGTTGGGACCTCACTCACTTTCCATTTTTGGACTAACAAAATGCAGGCTGCAGTTATTGCAGACACAAATAACCTTTTCTGACACCCGGGAATTTCAGTCTGGGTTATCCAGACTGGGGGTGGGGGGAGTAATTTAAAACATTTTGTTCAGGTCATTATAAATAATTCCCCAATACTTTTTTTCCTTTTTACATGTCCACCACATGTGAAAGAATGTTCCCTCTACTTCTTTACACTTCCAGCACTTCTCTGATTCTGTCTTGTAAATCTTAGCAAGCCTACTCGTAGTTAAATACCATCTATGAATCATTTTCAAATAGTTCTCTTTCAAAGAATAACATGCTGTAAATTTCAAGTCGCTTTTCCAAGGTTTCTCCCAGAGGCTGAAATCTATGTTGTGTCCTATATCTACTGCCCAGTGCATTTTTGAGGCTTTAACTAACTCGTCTTTTGT